AACTTTCACCACTTCAGGACTGGACTTGTGATGAAGGATGATCTCATGTCAGCTGATTTGTTTTACTGGGTCACATTAAAGACCAAAAATATGAGGAACCACCACAACGACCAAAAAAAACAAAAAAAACAAAAAAAACAACCCCTGCTGCACCATCTCCTCCACTCTGTGCTGCAGCAACACACTCTGCAGGCTCGATTCATGCTTCCCTGCATGTTTGCAAGCTTGTCAGAGTGTGTTAAATTCATTCAAAGAGCCCAAACATGTGTTTCTAACGTCCAGCATTGTCGCCTCTGCTGACAGCGTTTATCGTCTGTTTCTTTCTGCGTATGTGACTGAAAGGGTGAAATCCTTTATCCAGCCTGCAGATAAGGAGCATGTGAAGGAGACACAACACAGCAGGGTTGAGATAGAGCCGAAAACATGCTGCTTCGTGTCACACAGGATTTAATCTTTAACAGAAAAAGTTGTGTTGGACCAGGAGACAAACCAACTGGAGGAAAAGTGAAATATTTCCCGTGGATGCTGAAGGCCTTCCCATGTGATGTCACAGTGATGTGTAACTGAGTCAGTGTGCCACGTCCGCGGATCACTGGGGGATATCCACCCCGGAGGCCGCTCAGGAGGCCAGATTACTGACTCACATGCTCGCCGTTTTCTGAGGTCACATGCCTCGTCCTCCACATCCAGATGAATGGGACACTGTGGGGGGGCCGGAGGCATGGTTCCTCTTTGTCAGGATTTCACTCAACGTGTGAAGCACAATGCGCTTTTTTCATAAAGATCAAAACTTATACATTAGTTGAGGGCAAAGGCTAACGCTTCAGCGGCTATTCTCGACCAGAAAATGTAAGAGAGAGGCCAGCGAAAGCAGCTTAATGAGCTACTGTAAGCAGAAATAAACTAAAGGGCTATTAGAGAGAGCGCAGACAGGAAATGGCTCAGAGATGACGAGGGCTACTTCTTGAAAAGTTTCGATCCGCAAATGCAGCGGGCAGTGACTCAGCTTTCCAGACTGAAACTTAACCAGGCGCAGACTGGGTGTTTGGCAGTGGGTCTGCTGGTGAATGCATTTTAAAAAATAGCAAATTCTGTCATTCTATAGTGAAAAATAATACATTATTGTTTAAAAACCCCATTAAACCCACAACTATAAGCTCCATCCAGCAAGAGTATCCCTCTGACTCTTCCCAGGTTTGAGATTTACCCTAAAGTCCCTCCAGTTGTTGTTTAACTCTTTAAAAGCTCGTCTGTGAATCACTGTGACAAGCTTTTTTATTTAAAAATGTTCCCATCAGGCCTTACAATGGCTCAGATGTAGCCTTACAGTTTTCAATGTGCAGATCTACGAAGTCCCTGCCTCCTTCTCTACCTACGCCTTTCTACTACCTGCAGCTCAAGCACACCAGCTCACCTACGACGCTGCTAAAACGCTTTAAAGCCGCTCTACACCACACAACTTGTGAATGGTTGTGAAACTGACTGGACCTCAAGACTGCATTCTAAGAACCTGATAAGTGGTCCTGTAGACCTCTGTCCAGGATGTAGACATTGCTGTACTCAAAGAAGTCTTCTATCTTCTAGATGCAGGTGGACTGATGAGTCCTGGAGCTGGATTTCCTGTGTGGACCATTTTTTAGTCTCCCCTACATATAGGTCTGTGCACTCCTTACTGCACTAGATTGCATACATTATGTTGCTCAGCTTGTGTTTGGCTGTTTAAACCTGAGGGTGAACCAGATTAGACTGGAGCATCCATCTCTAAATAGAGGACAGGGTCTACAGCACCACTTATCAGGCACCTAGAATGCAGTCTTGAGATCCGTCCCTGCACAGTTGCACAACCACTCACATCCTGCATCATGTGGGTTGTTAACAGGCCATTAGTCGTGAGATTTTTGGAGTGACGGTCAATCAGAACTGAGGACGGTTCAAGAAATCCAGTTGTCTCCTCGTTTAATCTGAATCCATGGTTATGAGGCTGCAGTTTGGAGGTACAAACGCTCAGAAATGGTGCCGACTGCTGGTTTTGCTCATGTTTCTACCAGTTTGTAAAATAAAAATTCAGTTTACAAACTAGTTTATCTGGTCTCAGTAAAGCCTCTTCTTCATTCTGGTGTTTTTGATGTGGTATTAAGTGAATATAAAAACAGGAAGAGCACAACTCTTTCCAAATTGTGGTGAAGAGTTGTAGCAATTTCTCAGTGTACACAACAGCAAAACGAAAGGGAAACACAATGTTCACACAATGTTAAACACACACCAGACCAACATTTTAGAAATTTTGCGACCAAACTCTTAACCAAGAAAATAAGACAGATGGATTCAGATGCATCATTTGCTCCAAACCGATCCGTCTTTGCTTGATCATTCTTGTGTTGAGACGCTGAAATCATACATGAACCTGAAAACAAGAGCTCTTGTGGGTCTGTCTGATTGATCAACCTGACAGCGGCTCTAGAGGCAGACCCAGCCGCTGTGGTACCACTGCTGTCCACATCCGCTGCAGGTCACAAAGGTCATCGCGTCGTCGTCGGGGCCGCTGCTCCTCACCCACGCCGGTAAGAAGAGGGCGCCTCTGGACACCTGCGTCACCCTGCAGTCTGATCCTCCGCATCTCTTGCAGCGAATCTTCTGCGTCTGCGTCCCCTCTATCGCCTGAGGAAGCTGCCTCTCGCTCACCCCCCTGGATGAAAACTCCTCCCTCAGCTGCCGGAGCTCCTGGCTGGCCATCTCCTCTGCGGACATCCGGGCGAAGGCCTCCGGAGGCAGGGAGCCGCTGAGGAGGCCCTGACGGAGGTGACTGCTTTTGGGATTCCTCAGGTTGGCCACCTTGCTCCTCACACAGGCTTTGTATTTGACCTGGTTGGAGTTGTGGAGCTCGTGGATGTGCTGCTCGATGCCTCCGGCCAGCTCTGCAGCCTTGTCTCGGTCTGGAGGTTCGGGGTGGAGGGCAGCGAGGAGGAGCTCAACGCATTTGGTTCTGACGGAATCAGAAGATGCAGAAGTAAGAGTCTGGAGGCTCGATTTAGCCTGTAAAGACGCCGCTTCCTGTTCTGCAGCGTTCTCCTCCTTATTGTCACATGTTTGTCCTGCATCTGAACGGAAAGGAGGAAGCTCAGCAGGATCTTCTGTGCATTTCCCTCCTTTTGCATCTTTGCTGTACTGTCTCTTCCACTTAGACAACAAGCTCTTGACCTTCTTCTTCACGTCGCTGTCTGAGCAGGTTTTCAGGATCCTGTAGAGCAGCTGGACGACGTCTGTTGTCTCCAGCTGCTCTGCTGTGATGTGAGACTCGTCAAGATCTGCAAGAAGAGACATGATGTCCTCAAAGCGTCTCTCTGAATTCAGTTTCTCCATCTGAAGAGCACCGCGGACGATTTCCTTTGCGTCCATGGTGCCTGCAGACAGAACAAGGTGATGATGGAATAACAAACATCATAAATCTGAAAGACAAATAGAAGTATGGATCTTAACATACAGGCCTTTGCAACTGCCTCCAAACAGAGCTGCTGTTTTCCTGATGTGCTGCTGAGCAATAAGCACCGTTCAACACATTAAAACATTCCTGTGCACGTTGGTTTACCTGCTTTCCTTCATGGTTTGCAGCTTCTTCCTGCTCACAACAATCCCACAAACGTCTGCATGGGAGCAGCCATGTTGGATGTGTGTCCAGAAACAGGACATTTTCCTGCTTTCACCCCTAGATGGAGCCGCAGCCTCAAAGAATCGCACCCTCCATGGCACAACGGAGGTTTTAGGGTTAGTTTACCAGTCCACGTCAGTTATTTTGGTGTCGTTTTGTAAAGAAATTAAGATAAGCACAAATTTTCAAATGAGATCCTGAGTGACAAGACTCCTGCAGTCGTCCTTGATATGATTTGCAGCGCGTGTAATCTGTAAAAGTATCGCCGTGCAGCTGTGATGCCAGTCAGTGATTTGTCTAAAATGCATTGTGGGATTAACGCTTTATGTAAGGATTTAGGTGTGTGCCTTTGGCTTTCAGGTTATTCCCACAGCAGGTATTCAAAAGCCAGGCTAGATTTCTGTTTATTTACAAGCCTCTTTCCTGTTATTTCACAACAACAACAAAGCTGGATTAACCCGAGTCAAAGCGCAGCGAGACGTGTGGGTGCAACCAACAAGTGCAGCATTCATTAAAAAGACAACCTGAAGTATACTTACGCATTGAACTGTATGATTATGACCATACGTTTGCTGACTTCTGAAAGGCTGTAATACTGATGCAGCTTCTGCGGGGCTTGCACAAACACGCAGTCGTCACATTCGGCCTCCAGACAAGAATTCAAAAGCAGAAGGTATCCGAGAGCAAGACGGGGCAAGCTGTGCATGTTATGAGAGAAGAAGATGAATGGCTGTTGAGGGTAATTCATGGTTATGGAGCGAAGACAAGAAATGTTTGCATGCGTCAGAACCACAACAGTGGACGGACTAGTTTGTAGGTTGCTGTTATTATGCACTCAGAGCCGGCGAGGTTTTGATCACACACTGAGGAATGACGTGAGTTTTGGATAAAATAGAAGCTTTGTGTGGCTGGAAGCCTACATATGTACTATTGTTTAAACGGGAAGGTAACTGGATATTGCAGCCAAAACACAGGTATAATTATTTACTGGATGAAGATGATCGTGTTGGGAAGGCTGAACCTCATGTTTCACTTCTCAAACACGCAAGACTGTCTGGTTATTTGAAACTGACTTAACACACATGATACAAGTACAACTTATTTTGGCCCTAAAAGCATAAAGGCTTCAAGATGATGTACCCCTTTATAACTTTAGATGTCAAATCCTGCAGCTACAAGGCCGCAGTATGAGTAGAATTAGTGTCGGCAAATTTAATGTTGGGAAACAGTGACAAAATAATGAATGTTTGCTGTGTTTTTGCGACATATAGGAAGCTTGTGACCTACTTTAGCTGGCTAGTTAATCACTTTCACGCGATACAGCTGACAAATTGCTAATTAGTCACAATTGCATTTCTATTTTTCTTGGGTTTTTTTTATTCCCCTGTGCTGTTCACTCCTTCCTGGTGTTTTGTTCTCAAGATTTAACACCGTTTCATTCAAAAATATGCTTTATTGAAAAACAGAAAAGGCCCTCTGAGCTAACCAGATTGCTCAGTTCTTGCTTAAAGTCAGTTTTGAAGCTTGTTGTGGTTGCTAATTGGAACAATAGCGTTCGAAGCAAACCAGTTTGGTAACTGCTTACTAGCTGGTGACCTTGTTAATTTGGTTGCCAATTGGAAAAATATCTGTTTATTAAAAGTGTTGGAAAAACCCTGTGTGCTAACTGGGTTGCTAACTTTTTGCTAGTTGGCAAGTTTATGCATTTGATTGATAACAAGATGACAATTTATTTAAATTGGAAAAAGCCCTCTGAGCTAGCCAGCTTGCTAACTGCTTGCTAGTTGATAAGCTAGTAAATTTGGCTGCTAACAGGACAAAAAGTTGATGCTGTTTATTGAAAAGTAGAAAAAGGCCTCGGAGCTAACCAACTTGCTAACTGCTTGCTAGCTGATAAGCTAGTAAATTTGGCTGCTAGTAGGACAAAAAGTTGACGCTGTTATTGAAAAGTAGAAAAAGGCCTCGGAGCTAACCAACTGGCTAACTGCTTGCTCAGAGTTGTGAGCTCGTTTTGTTTGCTAACTGGATAATAAGTAAAAAACTATTTGTTTTGTACAGCAAGTATATTCTTTGTGCAACTGAGCTAATTAAGCTGCAACAGCTTTCTAGATTTTAGTATCTTCAGCGTTGTGCTCCATCAAGGCGCCTCAAACTTTCTGTTCACAAGTCAAAGTTGAACTTCACTCAAACTTTTCTGCACGTATTTACCCGCCTGGACACGCACAAACACAAATCACAGCAATTCCATTAAAGTGAGACAACTGTCGGTCTTAAATTGGTCTTTTTAATATGCAGAGAACAGATCCAGTACTCTCAGCATTTTGACCCAAAGAAAAAGGTTGGTTTGGTTCCTGTAGATAACCAAAGAAGTGTTGAATCTGCACAGGAATCAAAACAACATCTGCGTCATGGGTGGGAGTGGTAAAAGAATTGAGCAAGTTGGAGAAGTGCGCTTCCTGGTCGTCCAATGAAACTCAACTTTTAGTGACAGTTTGGAATGTTAGCACAAGCTCAAACACCTGGACTCGAAAAAAAGGGAGGCGTTTGAAGAACTTGCTGAAGAGTTGGTGAAAACTGCCATCAAACAAGACTTGACTTTAGCGTTGAACTGGCGGTCGGTCGAAATGCGTTGGTTTGCTTTTAGGACACATGGACGCAACCCAAACCCATTCTGTGGGTTGAAAAGCCCTAAAAGACACACATTATTAATATATATATATATGTCCTGCAACATGTGGCTGAAGTTTGGCCTAAATATAAAGCTGTAGTCAAAGGAAGACGTCAGCATCATCCTCCAGCACTAATAGTTTTTGTCGAGTCCCTTTGGGGAGATTTCTCTGTAGAAGACACTTATTGAAATGAGTCTGCCCATGTAGGATGTTCATCTGAACATCTGCAACGCTGTGTTTAATTAATTTTCCAACCGTTGCTGTGGTGTTGCTGGATTCCAGCTTGTGATCACCACAAACCTCCTAAGAGTGCTTTCACTGCTAAATTAAACAACTGGACCAGAAAGTAGATTTTCCTGCGACCCCAGTGAGGATTAAGCGGTGGATAGATAATGGATGGATGGATGGAGAAAGTTGATTTTACATCAGCTTTACCCTTTTGATTCAGAGACGCACATTTAGCAGCGCCGCCGTATATCAAAGCACATTCCTGCCTAATTATATACGTTATTATTCACGCACAAATACCCCCCTGACACATAAATAGATGAGCAGGGTCCCATTGCGTAACTGCCGGTATGACATCACCCTCTTAATGTTATATTAAAAATTTGCTTTCAAGATTCATGCAGCTGGGGCCGATGTGCTGGAGGCCCTGAGGGAAAATTGATTTGGTGTCTCTTCGCATAATAGCTTCTGGGTCTCAGGTCCTCAAACGGCAGCTTTTAAAACCCCAGATGGAAGTTAAAGCTCCGAGGAGGCTTTTAGCAGCGTTAATGTTTAACTTTCCTTTTCTGCACACTCGCCTTCTGGCTTGAGGAATTCTCTGCCGGTAAGCCAAGGAGCGCGCATTATCCAAGTTTTCATGGACACGTGTTGTTTTGTGAGTGTGATTCTGTGGAATGGAAGGAAGCAGGAGGGTCTCCCACCTCAAACTGAGTGTGGATTGAGATGGGTGGGGTCCAGCTGAGTCCTCAGTGAACACATGTCAGAGACAAAAACAAAAAGAAAACCTCCATTTCAGTCGTCGAGCACATAAGGCCTCCTCGGTTCTCCTTCAGCCACACATGACTGGAATTCCCAAAAACACTCGCAAGGCTCCTCGGATCTTATCAAGTAATTTCACTGCGGCCTGCTTGCACTTGTACACTCCTTATCTGTGGGAATGGAATTTTACCAGCACGCCGCCGCCGTGCCGGAGGCTCGCCAACAGGTGGCGCCCTCTGCACTGTGCTGGTCCTGACGGAGCCGTATGAGGAAGTGGAGTCCTGCTGTATCACATCCTGCTTTTGTTGTCTCCGCCTCTTGTGGAGACCACGCCACACTTGATGGCATGTACGCATGAGCGCACACACACCAACACACACTCGCTACCCCGCCCTGAGCTTGAGAAATCCTGAGGAGGAGGAGGAGGAGGAGGAGGGAGGCGTTCTTGTTAAAGTGATCAGTTTCTTCTTGGGCAGACATTCATGACAACATGGTAAAGTCCCTGCAGGCCCAAACCACCCACAACCTGCAAACACCCCCCAATGTGTGCACAGCACGGACGAGGAAAGGGTGAAAAGGTATTGTAAGAAATCCTGTGTTTAAGAGGTAAAAGGCCCACATCATGGATTGTCACTGTCAGTAAAACATTGTTCATCCTACTTAGGTACTGAACACAAGTCATAACAGGGGGAGGGAAAGGTCAGAGGACTGATATTTTCTTTTTGCTGACAGGAGGAGAGGAAGCTTCTTTGTATTCTTGAACACAGATACACGCATTTTTCAGCATTCTCATGCAAGAGTAACAAACAAAAGGCCCTTCTTGCATTAACTTCTTCTATATAAAACCATTAAAAATGAAACTCGAAGTTCACATTGTTTACTGCAAATGTGACTTAATCCACTGTTTTTTGTTTTTTTTTGTGCACTGGTGACCCTTGTGACATTGAGCAGAAAGCAGCTGGACTTCTCTTTTCGGTTCTTGAACACATTTCACATCTCATCCAAGAGACTTTTTCAGTTCTCGCTGACCGGTGCAGAATCCCAGGTATTTATTCTGACCCCCAAATCACATGGCTGTTTGAATGAAACCGCCTGGAGAAGCATGACTCATGTTGTTAATGGTTGTGAAACCTCCAGTACAGAGATATGAAGACTGCATGGGAAGTACCTGGTAAGTGTAAATGCTTAACTCTGGAGAGTGGATAAGCAACTTTTCCCAAAAACTCTCCCTCCCAAAGGAGGCGACTCACAGGAGTGGACCAGCCGACCGTGAAATGCCAACGAAACGTGTTGAATGTTGGTTTGAGAACATTCTGTCTTTGTTATCACATCGTCTGGCTTTGACAACATCCCCTGAATGTTGCAGCTGAAACATGTCTAACGCTTAGCCTTTCTTTGAAAAGATAAATATCCTTAAAGCATCTCCGAACATTACATTGAAACTTAAAAACATGTTAGTCGATGTTGTGGGAGCGTTCCTTGTTGGCTAGGATGGTTAGGACAACAACAGGAGATTGAGGCTGATTTCCACCCATCCCGACAACTGGAAGAGAAATCTGGTCTGGAATCTGAACCGATGTTTGGTTCTGATTATTTGGTCACCTGAGGGGATCCAGTCCTAAACCTCCTGAACAGACTCACCAACCATAACTAGCACCCGGAGCAGCATTAGCATTCTATCCCTTGAGGCTAACGTTACCTAAATATACTCGTTTTTCTTTTCTTAATCGCAAAGTATTATTAGCAGGTTGTTGTCACCGCATTCACTGGGATTGTACATGTTGGAGCACAGTCTGGACAGTTTCATTCATCTGGGCTTGAAAAATGCAAAAAGGACTTTGGAAACCAGAACCTGTAGCATCCACTGGGGACCAGCTGTCATCGACAAAGCGACGGGCGAATACGAGTTATACATCTCAAGTCTGATTTACGGAAGTTTCGTCATCAGATGGGTGCACACGAGGCTCACTGTGGTCTGTCTTGATTTGTCACTCGTGTGTTGGTATACGCCAATTTTAACTGCACATCCACGTGCGTATCTGCA